CTCTCTCTCTCTCTCTCTCTCTCTCTCTCTCTCTCTCTCTATATATATATATATATATATATATATATATATATATCGGGTTGTTATCTGTGACGTCACGAGCTGCGATGCGATTTTCGCTTCCGCGTTTCGTATACACGAGTTTGTCGTTGCTTTGAAATTTTTCATGCAAAAAAAAACAGACTATCATTATTGTTTCGTCCGTTTATTGTTTGATGTATTGAAATGTAATTGTCATGTTTGATAATGGCTAATGTAAGCCGAAAGCTTAGATTAGATCTAAACATGTATCAATATGGTGATTTCCTTTCGTCTTTCAATGATAATGTTATTAAGCTTATCAAAGGAACTTACTTAAAATAGACAAAACTTGTCTATATTATTTAATGAAACATGCATATATATATATATATATATATATATAGCGAGTGAGACAGAAAGTGTGTGTTATAGATTCGGATCATCTCTCTCTCTCTCTCTCTCTCTCTCTCTCTCTCTCTCTCTCTCTCTCTATATATATATATATATATATATATATATATATATATACTATAATAAAGAGAAAGAACAGTAAGATATATAATCCGGTGTTCTTATTAATATTTTTATTTTTACAAAATAGTGCTCAATGCAAATCTACAGAGCATAAATATTATAAATTTACAAATTTAAAATATGGTTCCATCGCTACACAGGAATTCAAAAACAGAAACTAAAAACTTTCCAAAATTCGCTTGAAAATGAAACAGGACTAGGGACTTTAATTTAATTCTATAATTGAATTTGAAGGATTTAGTTTCTGTTTTTGAAACATGGTAATTCCTGTGTAGCGATGGAACCATAACCATATTTTTAAATTAGTAAATTTATAATATTATATATATTTCTATATATATTATTTTATAGGCGCAGTATGTATGTTCGAACGCGTGGAGGTGTATCTGCGCCTAATTGCGGATTGCTTATATGGGTGTTTGTGTGAACCAGAATGCGTACACTTGTATGTATGTATGTCTGTGTGTGTGAGAGTGTCATCCCAAACGCACACAGGAGAACCTCCCGACCCATTACCAAACATAATCAAACACAAACAAGCATAAATAGATTCAATTTTTTTAAAATATACCAGTTTGTATGATGTTGGCAAAAGTGTGAAACGCAGGGTCACACACTGATATCCCTACAAGTGAATCTCTCTCTCTCTCTCTCTCTCTCTCTCTCTCTCTCTCTCTCTCTCTCTCTCTCTCTATATATATATATATATATATATATATATATATATATTCATGAATTATTCACACAAAAAACAAATACAAAGGTTAATGATTTAATTGGCGAGAAATCCATCGTCGCAAACAATTCAAATAATATACAAAAACCCCGAACCTGTTTATGAATGAAAAGATCCTTGTTTTTATAAATTTCTGTTGCATTAGTTCTTATTTTTACTACAAACGCTGAGTTTGATTTTAAATTTTTACAATTGTGCTACTGCACGCTCCAAAAACAATAACTCATTTCTAACAGCATTTTTCGGATACAACAATACATATATTTTCGTTGTCCTCTTATTACTGAGAGTAAAAACAAGAACAACATCTATTCCATACCTGAAGATGTCTGATGGATTTCTCGCCAATTAAATCATTAACCTTTGTATTTGTTTTTTGTGTGAATAATTCATGAATTTGTAAATTAATTGCACCTTTATTGAAATATATATATATATATATATATATAAGACACCGAGGGTGTTGAAACAAAATGGCTATTTTTGTAGTTATTTTATAGCATACTTATGTTGTAGTAATTGTTGGTTACTGAATTCATTCCGTATATACCAATTATATACTTATATATATATATATATATATATATATATATATTATATATATATGGTATATACTATATATATATATATATATATATAGAGAGAGAGAGAGAGAGAAAGAGTAGTTACAGATTTATCTTCACTCTCCTAATTATTCCCTTCCTCCCTCTCTTTCTATTTATATATATATAGAGAGAGAGAGTGCGTTATAGACTCTTTCTCTCTCTCTCTCTCTCTCTCTCTCTCTCTCATCTCTCTCTCCTATATATATAACATTTTTTATAAAAGTTAAATACACGTCAGCTACAAGCAAGATGATTTTTTTGCTTAGAAATATCATAAAGAAATACACTATACCAGTCGACCCGAACAAGAAAATTAAATCTATTACAAAAAAAAAATTAAACAGTTAACTTTATCATGAAAAAATATCAAAACTACTAAGAACTAACATTTTTGACGAGCTTAAAATGCTCCTTAAAGAACTGTTCCTGATCAAACCAAACTCATAAATTATTACATCGGTCACACTACTACATGCCTATCCAGACGACCTACATTACATGTACCCGACCATAGCTCCATTAGAACTCATTTAAGCACACAGAAAAACCTACCAGACTCAACCCGAAACATACTAGCAGAAAATACAAGCATAATAACTTATTCTACATGTAAAAGTGATTAAAAATAACGGAAGCTCTAATAAGAAAAAAACACGGCCACAATATGCTGACCATGTTAGTAAAATAAAACATTTCTATAACTCATAATACATTCATAACGTAAACCATACATTCAGTTGAAAATAAAAATTATATCATCCTTGATAATGGCTAAAAGAATAGCCGAAAGCGATCGGAAATGCAAAACATTTGGAGAGCTTTTATATACTTTGTGTCCAGAAAAGAAAACATTTGTACAAACACAAGAAAAATTAAATAAAAAGCTTAATCGCAGTAACTTGACAGTCGTCTTTAACGAAACATGTATAAAAGTTGGATTGCTGGCCAAATACACTATATATATATATATATATATATATATATATAGAGAGAGAGAGAGAGAGAGAGAAAGAAAGAAAGAGAGAGAGAGATGTTAGTTAGATTCATGATTCAGCTTCTGTCTTCATATCATTCTCTTTCTACCCCCCCTCTCTCTCTCTCTCTCTCTCTCTCTCTATAGCGTATGTAAATATAAATATAAAAGTGAACATTGAAGTCGACACTCAGGGGCGACAGGCTATTTCATGCTGGACGCAATTGTCAGGCCTTTTTCGTCCCGCATGAAACAGCTTCTCGCCTCTCAGTTTTGACTTCAATGTTGTTTATATTTATATATATATATATATATATATATATATATATATATATATATATATATATATATATTAGTATATTTTGGCATCAACTTTTTTTGAACAGCTTTCATTAAATATGACTGATAAAGAAAATTTAATTATTTTTTTATTAATTTTTCCGTTTAGTTGGAGTAAAAGAAGTGCAAAAATTGTACATATTTCCACTGTCCCAAGCGCTTTCGGCCATTTCTTTAGCCATTTTTATGTGGGCTTATTTTAGGTGTTGTTAATTTTTCTTCATGTTTTGACTGTTTAAGATGTATTTTTTTATGTTGTTTTGAATCATGAACTCTCCCGTCGGTTTCGACGTATGAGGATCTGACAGCTTATTTGATTCCGTTATGAAATTTTGTGCCATAATCTTAAGTGGCACTTAAGACCCGCTAATGATTTACAAAGGAGGCAGTATATGAAGCAAGAGTCAGGATTGTGGGATGAGATCACTGTTAGATTGGCTGACCTTTTAGATCTTGCTCTCGCTTCTTGAAGACTATTCAGACAAGCAAATTGAAAACTGCTGAGTTGACTAAATCACATTGATCTCCATTCTACCCGCTCCAAGGCTAAACATTCGAGCGTGTTATGAATATTACATATATATATATATATATATATATATATATATATATATATATATATATATATATGTATGTATGTGTGTGTGTGTGTGTGTGTGTGTGTGTGTGTGTGTGTGTGTTCAGTTGCATGGAAAGTTCCAAATTTAAGAAAGAGCTTCCAGACAGCATTTTCCTCAAGAACTGCCACTTTTTGAAACAGACACTCCGAACGCTACAATCTTAAATTCTTCACGTCAAGAATCAATATTTATCTACATAATCTCTACTCGCTAATCCCTTCATTTATATCACACATCTCAGTCACAATTAACCCCGGGTTTCACTCTTTTGTGATCATCAGAAAAAAAAACTAGTTTATTCTTTTAAAAAGTGGATTTATTTATGCTTATTTGTGTTTGATTATTTTTGTGTGTTGGGGGATTTTCTTCAGTGCTTGTTTGGGATGACACTCTCACATACACAGACACATATACATACAGGTGTATGCATTTTATTTCGTACAAACACACCCATATAAATAATCAGAGGTTAGGCGCAGATACACATCCATGCGTTCGAACACACATATAGACGCAGTTGTTTATATTTTCATTGTTCCAAGCACTTTCGGCTACTTTAGCCATTTTCCTCTTCATTTTTTGACTGTTAAGAAAAAAGTTCCAGACGGGCATTTCCCCCAAAATTGCCACTTTTTGAAATAGACACTCCGAACGCTACAATCTTAAATTCTTCAAGTCAAGAATCCATATTTATCCACATAATCTCCACACGCTAACACCATCATTTATATCACCCAGCTCAGTCACCATTAACATTCCAACTTTAACCTTCAACCTTGAGCTACTCTAGATCGACTAATTAATTAATTTGTTTTATTACGGTTTATCAACCTTTTGTATTTTATTTAAAGCCAAAAATTATTTTTTAAATTCTACGAATTTGGGAAGGAAGATAATGATTTACTGATATAAGTCCTACTAATTAACTGGGTGGGAGATGAGGTGGCTTTTTACATTACAGTAAATGAATATAACGATCCTGATTGGAATTGGAACTCGGCTTTCAGATTTCCAATTCTGAGCCGTTATGTATTACACATTCAAGCTGGTATTCCCAAACGGTTACCCATCTAGATACTAATGTTGCTTAACTTCTGTGATTATACGAGTACGGGTGTTTCAACGTAATATCCCCGTAAGCCCATTATATCACCTGTACACCCAAGCTAATAGTACCTGGCAGTCACAAGCAGTCACCCATCTAAGTACTGTAAAGGCTCGACGTTGCTTAACTTCGGTGATTGTGCGAAAACCGGTGTTTCAACGTGATATAGTCGTAAGCCTTTCATGTCCCCCGCACATCTAAGCTTACAGCTGATTTTTCCAAACGGTCACCCATCTTGCTTAACTTCGGTGTTCATACTTGAACCAGTGTTTCAACATGATATAGCCGTAAGCTGATTATATCAACTGCACATCCAAGCTGATATTCACAAGTGTTTACCTATGTAGATACTAACCAGACTCAATGCTGCTTAACTTTGGTGATCATACGAGAAGCGGCGTTTCAACGAGATATGGCCGTAAGCCCTTTTTACCACCCGCGGTTAATCATCCATGATTAAAAGCACCCGGTATTCCCAACAGGTCACCCATCTAGGTACTGACGTTGCTTAACTTCGGTGATCGTTCGAAAACTCGCGTTTCAACGTAATATGGCCGGAAGTCTCTCGCGTGTGGAAGAATGAAGTATCGAAGACAAGCCTCCTTCTCTGGCTCGTCATTCACGTTAACTCTTTCTTGACCGCGTTGAGAGCACGTCTCATTATCACCGATTGTCGTTCTTAATTAAGTTCTCATCGCCTGCAGCATGAGCGGTGAAGCACTCCTGCTAGGATGAGGTGATCTCCTGTCGCCAATGACTCTACGATTTAACTTTTCTAGGCATATACATTATACACGCATTACAAGGTGAGTGCAAAAGAAATAAATGGTTCGGAATTTACTAAACCGAATCTATTTCAGACATTGGCAATAACTGTGCAATTCTTTTTAAAAGGAAACTTTGAAAGTTTATTTCAGTATTCTATAAATGTGCTCGATATATACATATATACACACTCAAGATTTTCTTTGTTAAATGTCACTCAATATTTTTAGATTGTAAGAACTTTGGTGGAGAAACATAATAACAATTTACTGATACAAGATCTAGCAATTAACCCATAGCTGGTGGAGAAGAGGTGGATTTAACCTTGCCCAAGAATATTTGCGCGTAAGGCGATGCCCACTCGGTTTACAGACATATCATATTCAAATAGCGGTTCTTAGACGATGACCAAAATTAAGCAACGTCGTGTCTGGTTAGTACAGACATGGGTGACCGATTAAGAATACCAGGTACTGCATGTTTAGAATTGCGGGTGGTGTAACGAGCTTACGGCCATATCACACTGAAACATTGGTTTCCGTACGATAACCGAAGTTAAGCAACTTCCAGTCTTTTCAGTATCTAGATGGGTAACTGCTTAAGAATACCAGGCCCCGTAAGCTAGAATGTACGTGTTGCATAATGGGCTTATGGCCATGTCACATTGAAACACCGATTCCCGTATGATTACCGAAGTTAAGCAACTTCCAGTCTTGTCAGTTTCTAGGTGGGTGACCGCTTAAGAATACCAGGCCCCGTAAGCTAGAATGTACGTGTTGCATAATGGGCTTATGGCCATGTCACATTGAAACACCGATTCCCGTATGATCATCGAAGTTAAGCAACTTCGTCTTGTCAGTATCTAGATGGGTAACCGCTTAAGAATACCAGGCCCCGTAAGCTAGAATGTACGTGTTGCATAATGGGTTTATGGCAATGTCACATTGAAACACCGATTCCCGTAGGATTACCGAAGTTAAGCAACTTCCAGTCTTGTCAGTTTCTAGGTGGGTAGCAACTTAAGAATACCACGCTCCTTAAGCTAGAATGTACATGTGACATAATGGGCTTATGGCCATGTCACATTGAAACACCGATTCCCGTATGATCATCGAAGTTAAGCAACTTCCAGTCTTGTCAGTATCTAGATGGGTGACCGCTTAAGAATACCAGGTGCCGTTAGCTAGGATGTACGTGTGACATAATGGGCTTATGGCCATGTCACATTGAAACACCGATTCCCGTATGATCACCGAAGTTAAGCAACTTCGTCTTCTCAGTATCTAGATGGGTAACCGCTTAAGAATACCAGGTGCCGTTACCTAGGATGTACATCTGACATAATGGGCTTATGGCCATGTCACATTGAAACACCGATTCCCGTATGATCATCGAAGTTAAGCAACTTCCAGTCTTGTCAGTATCTAGATGGGTGACCGCTTAAGAATACCAGGTGCCGTTAGCTAGGATGTACGTGTGGTATAATAGGCTTGTGGCCATGTTACATTGAAACACCGGTTACTGTACGATCAGCGAAGTTAAGCAACGTAGATGTGTGACCGTTTGAAAATACCAGGTGATGTAAGCTTGAATGTGTCGGTGGTGTAATTAGCTTACAGCTATATCGCGTTGTATCACCGCTTTCCGTACGATCACCGATGTTAAGCAATGTCGAGACTGGTCTGTAACTAAACGGGTGATCGCTTGGGAATAAGAGGTGCTGTAATCTTTGATTTGCGTGTGGTGCAGTGGATAACGGCTCCGAATTGGAAATAGTAGAGCCTAGTCTAAATACCCTGTATTATGGGTTAATTAAGGAATTGTTTCAGTAAAACAGTATTATGTCTAAAAATGCAAACAAGTCTTCTCACACCCGCAGCTCTTTTTTAAGTATATCACCCTCAAGCAAGACGGGAGTGCCACTAGCACGCAAGGAGAGTGAGAGCAAGAGTAAAGAGAGTTGTTTAAGGAAAGGATATAGAGAAGGACAGGGATCAGGATCAAGGTATCAGAAGATGTCGATTGACATTACATTTAAATATTTGAAGATTATAGCTATCATAGAAGCAAGTAAGATGAAAGGATTTCCACTATCTGGAAGTGCAAGAGAATCAGCTGTTGGAGTAGAAGAGGCGGGTTACATTTAACTATTTCGATAGTTAAAGGTTGGGACCGAGATGCCAACCTAGTAGCACGCTTAATTTCAAGCAGTTGTGGTACCAGTGAAAGTAGCTCGTCAGAGCAGTTGACATGAAAATATGTGTAGAAAAGACAGAGGGAAGCTACAGCACGTCTGTAAGAAAGTGACTAGACGAGATGCCAGATCAGTACTAACCACGTTGCATATCCGTCTCTGGATTTTGTCAAGGACCTCGAGATGAACAGTGAGGGCACCAGACCATATATAGCAACATAATTCAATGCAAGGACGCATGGTTGATTTGTAATATTTGAAGGATGGACTCAGATGAGAAAAACCTTCTGGCGCGACACAGAAAACCAACTTTCCTTGCAGTAGATGCAGCTATTGATTCAATGTAGTTGTTCCACATCAGGTCAGTGGACAGCGCGAGACCAAGCAGGCGCAGAGAGACGTTCTCGTGGAGTTGGGCACCAGCCATTCTGATAGGAGTGGGTTCTCTATAGTGGGTAAATCTTGTATCAGTAAATCATTATTATCTCAAAAAAATATCACGCTATTATTTTCTGGTTTTAAATAACGTTATGGGTTGATAATCCATAAAAACAAATAATGAAGCAATGACATTTTCCGAAATCGAGTCGAAGTCATCATATCATGTTTGTACATGATATGATGACTTGCATACATATTCACCCACTTCAACAATTCCGTTTATTCTTATGCTAAAACCAAATGTTTGAATGTATTTTATTGGGGCGTTTTGTAATACAGTGGTTCACAACCTTTTTTTAGCTCATGGCCTACTTTGAAGCCAAAATTTTTCTGTGACCCATGAAATTATTATAGTGTAAAAAATTACTTCCATTTTACATAGAATATATCCAATTATAAAATTTCTGTGGCCTACTTGAAATATATTAATATTGATATTATATAGTGCTGTATTTCCCAACCTTTTTAGCTCATGGCCCACTTTGAGCCCAACATTTTTCTGTGGCCCATGAAATTATTTTAGTGTAAAACATTATTTCCATTTTATATATTGTTGGGACGTACCCACCTTCTAACTAGAAATGGACTGGTCCCTCATATAAGTCAGCTCTAGAGAGAGGACGTGAAAGCGTCAGCGACAGCAGTCCAGATAAGCTTACCCGTTACATACCGTTGGACTATAGACTTTGGATATTGTTTCGTACTAACCAACCTTCGTTCTCCTAATCACTCTATTGTTAATTGCTTTTACAAATATACCAGTATTTTCCTCTACAACTGAGTTTGTCTTGATTCATACACCGACACGCGGGAAACTCACAACATCTCAACATATATAATATATGCCATAAAAATACAAACATGTCTATTTATTGAACTCACACAATTTCACAAGCATCTAAAATATTTCGCAACTCCAATGAAACGACGATTTATTATCAATATTTATTTTTACAATTTTTCCTATATATGGCAAAAAAATACTTTCACAAGTAAAAAAAAAGCAACAATGGACTTAAAAAAACAATTCTGTTGCTTCAAAATATAAAAGCAATTTCAAAATATGAATAACTATAAGAAAAAAATTGGTTTCAAATGAATTTATTAAATGTGACCCTTATCCATGGTGCATCTTAGTATCAACTGTACCAACTGCATTTTGTACACGACTTACCTGTTTACACTTCTCACCAAAATTTGGTCTCGATTGGTCAATATATGGCTATTTTAGAGGGTGTGAGGGACGGACTAACGAAAGTCACAGAATGTTATAAATAGGTTGACTCGGGGACGGGTGAATACACATGCATCCAATAAATGATGGCCTTTTGTGCTAATCTTTGAATGCATAGCCCTGAAAGAGCAGATCAGATGGATGAGGTAAGTCATCCGTATGGACAATGACAGAATCTCAAAAGCAAATGGTGAGCTCTCTAGTGGAACGAGAAAACAATGTAGGTCATTGAAACGTTTCAAAAACTGCATAAAGGCCAACATCGTTCATACTGGAATGGACCCCAAACAGCGGACTGGGTTGCATGCCCTGAAGTGACATGATCAACAGACACATTTGAGGACAACCGAGGTGACAGCGTCAATGAGACCGGTACAGAAAGAAACGCAGTAGTCTAAAGCAACCAAACATGCAGGTCAGTTTGCATGTCCCCATTGCAGACGTCCTTGCCGTTCACGCATTAGATTTCCCAGGCTCCGTCAAGTTCAGACTCATGCACACAGACGTTACTGTTGAACTCAATAGACCAACACTATTGCCACAATAAAATGCATTTTGCACCTGCAAACCACTGTGCATTTTGAGGTCATCAATTCTTAAAAAGACCATTTAAGTGAATTTGAATTCTAGTTGATCACATGAAAAAACGTGAAAAACTTAAAGTGGGGGGGGTGCAAATCCTTATGCAAGGCACTGTGTATATCGTATACATATGTATTTATATGAATATTAGAAAAGTAAATTAAATATATTACACGTACGCATATATATATATATATATATATATATATATATATATATATATATATATATATATGTTGTAAAATAATCATTCAAAGAATAACTCAATAAAGTTAATGTAAATAATGGCGAATTCATTTCGCTAACATTAAGAAGGCATTAACTTACTGACCACTCGCTGAACGACGCGATCCTTGTTTTTATACAATGGATTAGATGTTGGTCCATATAGTTCACAAGTACTTTCGGTAAAAACATTCACCATCTTCAGGCATAGATGTTATTTTTTTCCTCAATTTCAAGTAATTTCCGGTAAAAATTCCAAGACGAAAATGAATGTGACACTTGTCGAAATATGTTTTTTTAAAACAGTGTGCTCTTAGTAACAGTTAAGAATATTTTTGAACATACAGAAATGCTACACTAGATTTTTGAATATTGTAATAATGTAGTAATTCAAAATTTCTATTATTGTAAGTGTTTTTTTCCGTTAACGTGAAATAGATTATTGGTCCAATAGAGCAATGTCTGAGAAAATTGCAGAATTTTTTTTATTGAAGATCGAAGATATTTTCAAATTAATAAATAATGTAGCTTAATTAATATTGTAAAATAGTCAATCAAAGAATAAAACAATAATTTATTGATTTATTCATTGAATCATGTTTTTCTAGGCAGAAATGTTATTTTACAGGTAATAATCTTTAGTGGGAAGCAGACTTGATTCGATTCCGCTAATTATCAATTCTTTAGTAAAAAGGCCATTCAGATTTTCCCACATATTGTTTCTGGCACAGTGTGCATACGTAAATTAGGTTATGACTTCTCGTGGTAGATTTTGAAAGTAGATTTAGTGACTGAGCTAGTGATCGAATTGGTATGTCTAATGTCCTTTTGTTGTTACATGGTTGGGAAAATCCTGTTGTTTTATTTTTGGTCTGTTACGTGTTAATTTATCATCTGAAATTTGGTGACTACCTATAATTTCCTTATGGTTCTTAGGTTTACGATATGCTAGAAGGCCGGGTTCCTCAAACAAAGGTTTTAGGTTTGGTTTGAGATGCAGTATTTCCCAGCGACTTTTCATTATCTGAGATAATGGAGCAAAAGCAGTGTTGAAAGTGGTTACTAGAGACATGCGACTAGATTTTTTTTTATCTTATAGATTAGCGTATTTTCTAGGTGTAGGAATTGCTACATTAATTTGTTCCCTGACGTTACATATATATATACGAGGGTCATTCAATAAATAAGGTGAATTTTTCGGTACAAGGACTTCTAATACAGATAGAAGCTTACTTTTTTTTCAACGTAGTCTCCCAGTACTGTCACACATGTTTCCCATTTGTGCACAAGCTTCCGTATTCACTCAGCGTAAAAATCTTTGGACTGATGTCTCAGCCAGTCGCTCACAACACTTTTGACTTCATCGTTACTTTTACACTTCGTGCCTCTCGTGAACGCTTTCAAGGGACCAAACAGGTGAAAGTCTGAAGGGGCAAGGCTGTAAAGGGAATGAGGGAGCAGTTCCCAGCCAAGCTCGTTGATGGCCTGCATCGTTTGGGCTGCTGTGTGAAGCCTTGCGTTGTCATGATGCAAGATGACTCCTTCTGACTGATGACCCCTGCGTTGGTTCTTTATGTCTTTCTTGACCTGCCTCAGCAGTTCACAGTAGTTCTTCTGTCAGACTGAATGAGGTCATTGACTTAT